TTATAATTTTTAAAAAATTATATCTGACGTTTTTATAGTCAAATACATTCAAAACTCATGCATTTTAAACGATTAAAAAAAAATAATTAAAATTTATATTTTATTCAATAATTTTTACATATTTTATATTGGTCTGGAAATTTTCCATTTTTATCTGGAAAACCTGGGAAAAGTTAAGGAATTTTAAAATTTATTTTCTGTGGCAACCCTGGTTTTTATCATTTGATAAACTCATGATGTGACTCACATTGATCAAGATTTGTATATTTATACAAGAAAAAAAATCCACCCATCAGGATACCGAATAATTACTGTTAATATGACTATTAATTCGATTATATCAGACCTGGGATTTAGGGTGTAATCCACTTAAATACTTCGTTGATCAATCAGAAGAATTTTACGAATTGACCAATCAAAAATACTTCAAAGCATTTGCAGCGTGAAGTGAATCGCACCCATGGTTGCACATTTCGGCCGATTTTCAGCTTGGTTCCTGCCCCTTACTTTACCAATTCGCGCGCAGCCTAAATGCCAATCGACATTTAAGGCCGCAGTACAGACTTTTGCATAACGCATAACACATAGTGCATAAAAAAATCAACCAATCAAAGCTGCTCTTTTCCATGAAATTGAAGGAAAGGAAAGATTCTGATTTGTTGAATCTCTTATGTACTATAATGCGTTATGTATTATGCAAAAGTCTGTGCAGCCAATAGGCAGATTGATGAAATAAGGGGCAGAAACCAAGCTAAAAATTGGCCGAAATATGCAACTATGGCCGGTATTCATAGTCAGATCTTATATTCAAGATCGTCTTAAGTACAGTTTTAAGATACCATGAACCACTTAGAGGGCTGCATTAGCGTCTTAAGACATTACTTAAGACGGTCTCAAAATAAGAACCGACTATGACTAAGTTTTCACCGAAGGTTTGTTCACGTCGCATGCTCCAACATGTTCCAATATACTCCTATCATAGCTCTTACTCACTCCAATGCGCTTGATAGAGAGAATAGGAGCAATTGGAACTTGCGACGCGAACCAACCTCGAAGGTCAGAGTTAGGTCAGAGTACAAGAACTGACCAACCACAGTCAAGCATTCCCCTGTCATTCGACTGTAACAGGGGAATACTCGACTGTGATTGGTCAGTTCTTGTACTCTGACCCAACTCTAACCATCGGTGGAAACTTAAGAGATTTGTCGCGTCGCATGCTCCAACATGTTCCAATATGCTCCTACCATAGCTCTTACTCACTCCAACGCGCTTGATAGAGTAAGAGGTATGGCAGGAGCATATTGGAACATGTTGAAGCTTGCGACGCGAACAAACCTCTAATCTAGGAATACTGGCCTAAACCCCAGTTCTGGGTTATACAATCAGCGATAAACCATTTGTCCGTCTGAACCATCAAACATATGGATTTGTTGGATAGGAGAGAATAATTTGTCTATTTTTTTATATTTTTATGTTTTACCTGACTAAAAAATTGTACGCATAACTGCTATTTTTATGTTACAATTTAAATTCGCTTAACATTAATTAATAATAACCCGATCGGTGTCAAAACGTCTGTTCATTATAATGTTTATTATTTTTATATTTTGAATATTAAAAGATATAATTGTTCTGCTTGTAGTCCTATTAGTTTCATCATATTATTAATTTTATTCAATGATGTAACTGTTAGTACATGTGTTATTTTACACTTATATCTATTAAATAGAAAATTATAATATTAATATAATGTGTTACTTATATTACAGTTTGTAATCTGATAATTATATACCTATTGCAAGCCTTCTACAGTTATTATAAATAAATAATAAAAAAAATAAGATCAGTACTAAAAATGTTTGTAATAAAAACAAACAACTAATTATAGTTTTCTAAATAATAAAAAGGTTTATACTTCCCTTCTTTTGCCATATCAAGCAAACTGATCCCTCCCCCGGCGCGGTCGGTGCGCGTAACGAACTACGATTATATAACGACAAAACAGGACTGCTTGCGCCCTCTAGTGATATCGATCAATACTAATTAATCGGCGATAGAGAGCATGACTAGTATCAGCTGCTAGTATAATATGTAATGGTAGGTAACAAAGGAACTTTCCAGCAGAGGCACAAATTATCACGACACAAGAGTCATTAATTTATCTTTGTTTCTTACTGATTATCGAACAAGGACAGGATGACTCTTGTGTCTCTTGCTGGAAAGCTCCCAAAGTCGAAAAATGTAGATATGTTACCCGTCGAATATATCTATGGCTACATATAGTTCTATGCTTTGTGCACATAGAGGCGCCAGTAGACAAGTTTCATTTAAAACACCGCCCATCAGATCTCAGGCTATCTCTGGCTATTTTAAGCTTCTTTTGCTTTCTCTCTCTCTCTCTCTCCTCTCTGTGGTATATACGTACATTTGCAACATACATATACATATGTATATATAATATGATGATAGGTTATGAAGTCATGTATTCTTGCATCATTGTATAGTTCTTGTAGATAATGACGATTAGAGAACTCGAGCGTTCGTTTAACAACAAGTATATCTGCGTGAAGGAATAAAGTCAATAAAGGGCAACATCCGTCGTCGTTGGATTACGCGAGTCAGTGGAGCAAAATTGTACGCTCATCGTCTAGACTATGCAACAATTGTAACAGCGATAATCAAGCGGGGACGTGCAAAATACTAGGCTTTAGCAATGGCGTTGACACCAGATTTGTTCTATTTTGAATGGATCTCGTATCTTTGATTCCGGTTTCCGTTTTCTCCCGATAATGGACGGATTTGTATGTTCAGCTTATATACACAACAAAATAAATATTACGGCTTAGAAGATAAACTTATTGCTCTTGCATAACACGCTTTCTTATATCTTATAATACTTTTGATAGGTTATAATTTACAATATTAAATTTTTTTATTATTTTTACAAATATTATGTATCATTAATATTAAGAGTTCAAAAAAATTTAGCCCTTTCTCTTAAAATTTTTGCTAATGCAAGCCTTTAGAAGGCTACAGAATTTTTACCTTAAATTTTCCTGAAAATTTTATTCTAAGAAAAAGTATATTTTTAACATATAATGAGATACAAAACATACGAATGATTTTCACAGTCTTCTAAAGATTAATGAATATATTAATTGCTTCTACAGAAAGACAATGGAGGAGGCAATGAATCAGAATCTGACCATGATTGCCCAGAAATTCCTAATATCCCCTGGGTAGAGAGACCTAAAGAATGGACTTATACAATGAGAAGAAACATGCAGGTGATTATATCAAATTGATAAGATAGTGTACAAAATATTGATAAAATGTTTGACTTTCAACAAATGTTGTCAAACTTTACCAGCAATAATCTATTAATTTTCTATTGATAAACAAATGTTGTGTGTATGAATATCGATCAACAAAAGTTTCTTTTTGAATTATAATTTTATATAGTTCGTAAAAAATTAGTAGACATTTAATTTTTTGTATAGTTTTATATAGTTTGTAAAAAATTAGTATACATTTAATTTTTTTGCTTATTTTTACAAAAATTATATATCAATTTAATATACAACTATGTCTATGTTGTATTATAGGAAGTGGTACCTGGTGTGTTTCTTGGTCCGTATAGTGCTGCCAGCCGCTCTAAATTGCAATCTTTGCTTGATCATAGAATAACACATATAGTTTGTGTCAGGCACGCTATTGAGGCAAACCTTATAAAGCCAAACTTTCCCAACAGCTTCAAGTACGTGATTTTAATTGTAACAGCTTATTGATAGTGGCTTAACAAAAAAAGAATGAGAACGAGTCTAAGAACTTGAAAAAGTTCTTATTTCTGATTTTCTTCTTAATATTTTTAATTATTAATTTTATTTTATATTCCAATTTTATGATTAGGTTCATGATTTTTTCATAGTGATACATCAACTTAAGATTTAATTGATCTTGAATCAATGTGTCTTTTTGATTTCTCTTTATGGATTTATATTTAATTATATTTTGTGTGCTTATATTTTCTAAAGATACCTAGTCTTGGAAATCGCCGACACAATAACGGAAAATATCATTCAACATTTCAAAAAGGTGAAAGCATTCATTGATGAAGCCTTAAATTTAGGCGGTCGGGTCCTCATTCATGGAAATGCTGGTATTTCGAGATCTGCCGCATTGGTCTTGGCATATGTTATGGAAACATACGAACTTTCACAAATGTAATTTTTTTTCTATAAATAACAATATTTTTGTCTGAATTACAGAATTATACATTTATTTTACATATTCAGTAATTCTTACACTTCTGTTTACTGAAATTACAATACCGAAAAATCTTTGTAATATTTATTTTAGGCACGCATATTCGATGGTGCAACAAAGAAGATTCTGCATAAATCCGAACGAAGGTTTTATGATTCAACTAAGAGAATATGAACCTATCTATCAGGCAGAGAAAACGCTGAGAAATGAACAACAAAGTTCGGAAGTTCAACGTAGTAAGCGAACAATTCATCAGATTGAAATGGATAATCGATCGCAAGATAAGGTCGAGAACACAATAAATAGTTGATGATAACTTAAAGAAAATAGGGAAAAAACCGAAGTTACCAAGGTTCATTTTAGATCGGACGAACAAAAATATTTTCCTTTTTTTAGCTCCTTGCATTTTCTACTAATTTTTATTTTATTTTATTTTTCTTATTCTTTATTATCATTTATAACTGTTTTAAAGCGAGTTTTGTAAACTCAAATAATTCACAAAAGAAAATTATCAAATTAGAGACTTGACAAAAAAAAAATATCTAATAAAATGCTAAAAAAACATAATAACGAAATAATGTATTATTTATTTATTGAGATTCTAAATCGTTTATAATTAAAAAAGTTGATATTTAAAATATATACAAGCATATGTACCAACAAAATGTGTTTTTTTTTTAATTTATATTTATTTCTGTCATCATTTTTTCATTAATATGTTTTGACATGGCAATATTTGAAGTTAAATATTACATATTAAATTTATGTCAAAATATTTAATTAAAAAATAACACATTCATGTTTCTATAAAGGTAAAATCATCAATATTTTTCTATATTTTTCATTTGTTGAGATAACATCCTTGGAATCACGTAACTTTGGCAGGAAATTCTATGCACACTATTTTTTCGTTGTTCTCATTCACAAATTCCCACTTAATCTTGACATTCACCTGCAACATAATAAGAATTAAAACTTATTAATTAAACATAAGTCTAAAACTTCATTATATACATATAAGATATTTTTAATGGCTTAATTAGAATTTTTAATAAATTGAAAAAATAAAGAAAATAAGTTTTATGCTACTGACTTTGTGAGAAGGTCAAGCAACTGAGGCATATAAGTTTCTTAGAGAAATGATAATATGTACAAAACTGTTTAGTGTGCATTTCGACTTCGAATAATACGGACGTTATCAGTCTTGTTTCGAGCAATTGCTAGGCAATTCTTTATCTTATTATTGTTAACATATTATCCGAGATTTCAAAATATGCCTCAATCAAATCTGAGCTCAAGAAAGCGATTTTCGAAGAATGGGAGAAAATATCACCTACTATATGCGAAAGATTAGTACATAGCTTACCTAAAAGAATAGCAGAAGTCATAAAAAATAATGGCGGACCAAGCAAATATTAGTTTATATGATTATTTAAGAAATAAATGATAACATTTATAAAGATAGTGTTATTTATTTCCTTATAAATTGAAGAAATTGTTAAATAAATAAGGTGCCTAATAATTTTGTCAATGGCTGTATATGTAGGGTATCTATAAAGTCCCACCTAGGCCACATATCTCGGAAACGGCTTTAGATATGGAAAAATATCTCAGATAAAAGTTATAGGACATTAAGGGGGACATATGATGAAAATATGGATGACCATATTTTCGTATATTTGACGTATATTTGACCTTTAGGGACCTTCTGAAGGCTAGGTCAATATGATCGTTGTTTTCTTAAATGGAATCCCTCATTTTTTATTGCATATTCTTATAGTTTACCTTGAGAGCTTTTCAAAGCACTATAATAAAATATTTTTTCGTTAAGTACTTTTCGTTATGAGGATTAAAAGTTACAGTACCGCCGGCATTAACATTATCCAAGGTGTCCGATCAACGGCTAAAAACCTCTTGAATGTTGTTCGGGATCATGACCTGGATAACATTTGTCAAGGCCATTGGTGATTGTATTTCTTATTTTCATTTTTACGTAAAAATGATTAATTTTTAGTGCAAAAATGAAAATAAGAGGAACAACCTCCAGTGGCCTTGATTTTGATAAATGTTATCTAGGTCATGATCCTGAACAACATTCAAGAGGTTTTTAGCCGTCGATCGGACACCTTGGGTAATGTTAATGCCGGCGGTACTGTAACTTTTAATCCTCATAACGAAAAGTACTTAAAGAAAAAATATTTTATTATAGTGTTTTGAAAAGCTCTCGAGGTAAGCTACAAGAATATGCAATAAAAAATGAGGAATTCTATTTAAGAAAACAACGATCACATTGACCTAGCCTTGAGAAAGCAACTCAAGATCAAGTCCATATTTTTATCATATGTCCCCCTTAATGTTCTACAACTTTTGTCCGAGACATTTTTTCATATCTAAAAAATTGTTTCCGAGATATATGGCCTGGATAGGACTTTATAGACACCTTGTATATACCATATATAAATTATATTCCAATATCAATAAAATCTAAATTAAATCTCTTAAAGAAATAGAAATATATATAGCATATAAAGTTTAAATTTTACCGAAGGTAAATTTAAAGTTTATATGTAAGGCTATTTACCGAAGGGAAATTCTTTTTTATGGACATCATGGTCATATAATGATATTCTTGATCCTTGTGTAAAGGACATTTAAGCCCAGCATTAGGATCCTTGCACACATCAGGCTGGCTTAATGGAAAAGGTACCGGAAGGATATTCAGTATACCGTAAACACGTGCAACGATGTGTGAGATATCTTTGTCTGTAAAAGAAATGCACAAAATAATACATTATAGTTACAAAACGATCATTGCTTAATAATATATTATAGATCTATAATTAATTTAATTTAATTTAATTTACCATGTATCAAATATTATAATTATATAATGATATAGATTATAGAAAAATGTATATCTCTTAAATATGTATTTTTAACTAATAATTTAAATATATTTAATATCATTAAATTAAAATTAAATCGTCACAGAGAGAGAGAGAGAGAGAGAGATAAATTGGACGTGTGATTTGGATATAATTCTCATACTCACTAGGTTTAAAGTTGATAGACATAGTTGCATTAGTACCGCGCACGAAGTTACATTTTTCATCGGACGTACTACATTCGGAGATCACTACTTCTGTGAATTTACCTAATGTTGAGCCTAAGATGGAAATAAATATGAAGACTATATTAAATGAAAACATAAATGTATTAAATACAAATTAGATAACAAATAATAATATATTGGAAAGATATATATACATATTAAATAAATTTAAAAAGTAGACTCTTTAAAAAACTGCTCTTTAATTTTATAATGATTGGGTTACATTATATTTTATTTACATAAATTAATAAATTAAAAATTTCCAAGGGAAATAATTAAAATTATAAAACTGTTTAAATTTTGTAATTATAAAACAGGTCATATTTAGTAACAAAATATTAAATAATAAAATTTCAAGAATTTTAATTATATTCACTAACAAAATTTCTCATGAAATTTTATTATAATTTCTAGTGGACGAATTCTCCTTATGTAAAATATTTCTTATCATTAAATAATAATATTGTACTTGTGTAGATGGCATCAACAACACATTCCGTACTTTGTCCTGCATGCTTTTTGTTACTATCTCTGATGATAACTCAATTCTCGTATAAAATGACTTAAGCTTGAAAGGTGCGAGTCACCATTTATTTTTCAAGTAAACGATATGCGTCAAACATCATTAAATTCATCATTCTTCAGATAAAACGGTACATGCATTATGAACTGATAACATAATCAGACTTTCACAATAACAAACAAAACGCAGCACGCCGCTTAGTCATGAAAAATGATATATTTTATAATTAAACTATAATAAAATAATATATTTAATAAAAATTTGTTGCATATTAACAGTAGACATTTTTCTTTCAAAATAGATTAGCTACCCACTAAAAAATACACACTAACAGTAACATTACATTAATATTATAATTTTCCACTCAATATAAATGTAATATTGTACACGACAGTTACATTATTAAGTTGGAAATTATAACATTCGTGTAATGTTACTATTTGCTTTCTGCATACCACGCGTATTCATATTTCCTTTTAAAATAAAAAAGTGAAATATAAGGAATATAAAATAGAAATACAAATTAAATATTGTAAAGAAAAACTGCATTATAATTGTATTTTTATGAAATAGGAAATTTTTATGAAATAGGAATAATAATGAATAGCAAGGATGTATATCGTCGTTATTATTTCGCTGTGATCATGAAGTTTATTTAAACAACATGGATATAAAAAGATGATGATAAACTCGCGTTACCACGATAAATATCTTTTAACATCAGAGAAAAACATAAAAAATTTCAAATATCATACATGCAAATCTATAATTATACTGTTGAAACCTGAACTGGTTGAAATTAGATCTACTTGGCTTTCTTAAACACATATACATTACGCCTTCCTGCGCACTATCAGCGACGGATGCTTCTAAGCTTTGAAGGCAAATAAAGAAAAAATAAATTTTAGAAGGCGTCACTAATGTCCATCTTTATCAATGTAGATAAACTTTAATCTTGGTTTAACTTACTTTTTATCTTTTTCTAGTTTTAAGAATTAAATAAAGAACAAGTTAAATCGAGATTAAAGTTAATCTACATTAGTACAATGGACATAAAAATAATTTTTTCTTCCCTTCTTACAATAGAGATTTTTATCCTCTTCGGCATTTTTTTTCATTCCTTAAAACAAACAAACGGAACATTCATTTTAAGGAATGCCTCCCTTTCAACATCTTGGATCGAACTTTTATAATTTTTAACACTATATATCATTTTTAATAATATGTATCTATATAACATAATAAATCTTTGAAGATTCAGTGCTTTTTTAGTAGTACCTTATCATATATATATCATATATATATTATCATCGGTTACAATTAACAATATTTATGTCAATTAATTTAATTTTGCATGCTATACTTAATATAATTATAGTTTCATTTTACTATCAAAAGAAGGAAGTTATTAAAAAGTGATCGAATTTGGCCTCACAAGTGTAAATAAAAGGAATACCTAGTGGTTTTTTTTAGATTTTGATCTCCTGCATATATGATAAAATTATTAAAAAGTTCGTGGCATTTGGGAAACATCTCGAAAATTGAGCAAAAATTTTAAAATGTGTATAAGTATATCTTGTTCATGCTCAATTTTCGAGATATTTTCCAAACGCCAGAAATTTTTCGTATTCGGGTCAAAATCTACAAAAAACACTATTCTTTTCAAAGATGGAAACGTTACCTCATAAATATAACTCGTTACCGTTACCGTTCTTTTTTCTAAAAAATAACTCGTTATCATTATTCTTTATTGATTTCTAAAAGTAGCTCGTTTATATACTTCGTTACTATAACTTAAAATGTAACGAGTCGTTACTTTTTCGTTACTTTTTTTTTCGACACTAATAGAATATAGCGTTTTTCATTGGCAGACCTCAATGCACATTGAAACCGTTATACACTACTCTATTCTGAATGTAAAAATGAGGTATCTCAATTGATAAAATGCCTAAAGTATATTTTATCAAATAGCATAATAAAATGTATTGAGAATTTTACGGTTCTTTTTTTAACTCATTCCTATATTTTTATTAAACATACATCTTTACGTCGATTTATGTACAACGCTTTAAAGTGCATTGAGTGCTCACTAGTGCTACCAATGAAAAACGCTATATGTAGATTTTTACGGTAAATATTTTGAAGGGAAGTCAGAATTCTATCTTTTAGTAGAGAAATAAAACTCAAAAACATACATATATATATATACACTACACGGTTTAGTTACGACTAAAACTTTTACGTGGCTAGAAATAAAGTAACGAAAAAAGTAACTAATGAAATCATTACCATTACCCCAAACATATGACTACATTACCATGAACATTACTCAGAAGAAACAAATAGCTTGTAACGGTAACGACGTTACAAATACGCATTACTTACCAACCCTGATTTTTTTACTTATATCTTTAAGTCTGATCTACAATGTGCTCTTTGTTTCCTGTATCTTGCTTTTTTCCCTTTTTTGCGATCGTTTTATCGACGATTGTATTTCTTGCCATATGTTTCTTGTTTCTTCCAATGTTCATTAACTTTTATCTCGGGCAACGGAAAACGAGATATAAGAGGCAAAAAGATAAGATGTAAAAAATAACAAAAAGCAATCCAGTATCCAAAAAAAATGCCTAAATTCTAAGCAGAATCGTAAGGCTCGTAACATATTCCTATATATTTTAAATGTTTATACCTTTATACAATATTTTTACAGACAGCTTCTTACTAGCCATAAAATTTATAAAAAATTGTAGATATTTACGAAAATAATCGTACGTCTTACGATACATATGCATAAAATTAGAATACTAATCATAAGTTCTCATATATATACAAGTTTTACGAGAACACGTTACGAGTCTTACGATTCTGCTTAGAATTGACCCATAAGAATTTTAGATTCGGCAATGACTACACAAATCCATGTCTATCTATTTCAATTCCTTGGGAATTGAAATAGATAGATATAGATTCATGTAATCATTGTCGAACCAAATTCAAAATTCTGATTTTCGGATACTGGAAAGAAACAGAATATTAAAAAAGCACATCATAGAACAAGCTTTGAGGCTAAAATGGACTATTTTTTAACATTGGGTCTCTTCAAGTTTCTAAACGCGTGATGGATAAATCCCGAAAACGCAACATCCCTTCAGTAAATATTATTATTATTAACATTATTTTTCATTCAGAATAGATTTATTACAAATGATGATTTTCTGTTAATCCTTAACTAACAATAATAAAACACGCACTCACCGCAATCATCGAACTCGAAGGCAAGACAGGGCGCGAAACAACATAACGCGTAGAAAAGCGTAAACACGACAATCGCCATTCGGACCATGTTACTGTTGCTCGTACGGCTTCCGCACAGCTAATGATGGCTGCTACAATACTGCAGTTGTTTTAACATGTTGTATTCCCCCCTAGTAATGAAAGAGCGCCTCCAATCGGTTCTCGTTGCCGAAGTACCGATCGAGCTGAGATAGGAAGTTTATCATATATATCTTTTAATGATACTTCTTTTTTTTCTTTAACAGTTGACTACCTTTTCAATCGTCGTGGCTTTTCTATATACAGGGTGTCCTGTAAGTTTTTGCCAAACGTTTTTTTGTAGATAGAACGGACTAAACTGAGTCGAAAAGTCCTCTACTATTTTGCAATTTTCGCAGTTAACAAGATATTAATTACTAAAAATTGCCGAATATTAGTCTTCAATGATTTTTTACTCAAATACTATCAACTTATGAGACATCCTTATATATATACTATATATAAGGTTATACATATATATATAAGGTTATATATATATGGTTTTTCCCCGAAAAATACACATTTTTTCCTCGATTTTATTTTTCCGGAAAATTAAGAACACTTTAAAAGAGTGTTTTTAAAATTTTTTCGTATTCTTCAGAAAAATTAAAAAAAATACTCTCTTAGAGTATTCTTAATTTTTCGGAAAAATATATAAAATCGAGGAAAAATCTAAATTTTTTCCATTTTTTCCAAAAAAAAATTCTTTTAATAGGTTCTTTTTCGCCTATATTTGAATTTAATGATAGAATGTTGCTTTAAATTATTTTAAAAAATTATTTTATTTAAAAAAATAGAAAATTTGTCTCAAATTTCAAATACAATGATACGATTGATACGAATTACGAACAATACGAACGAATACGAAAGATACGAAACGAACGATTGATATGATTACGATATTTACGAACATACTAAACTTTGTCGTACAGCATAGAAATACGTATGTAATAACAATAATATCCTTATAAGAAAATTCTTTTTCCATACTCTGGCATTAAACTTTTTACATAGTTTATCAATCCTCTTTTTCTTTTCATATTGGAAAGAAAAGGTCAAAAGGATAATATTTTTGTGCAGAAAGTTCAGTTCTGGAATATAAAAAAAGAACAAACTTAAGATCTGTACTCCTTGCTTACACTTTTTTACACTCAGCGTCTTCGCTTTCTTTGTTTTCAACACTCGATGTTAAAGAAAAAAAGACTGGAAAAATATGGCAAAGAAAAAAACCGAAAAAAACCCAATTTTTTCCCAAATTTTCCGAGAATTTATTCGGATTAAGAACACTAGCCGTGCTACGAATTCACGCGACACGGCTTCACCGTTTTCTGGGCTTACACGTTTTCTTTATTAATTCGAAAACTGCAGCGAATATCTCAAAATGGTATAAAACTTTTTTGTTCCCCTTGACCTATATTATCCAGGTAGCAAATACACGTCATTTTGACGTCAAATTTTGGTCATTTACTGACCATGGCTGACGTCACTAAATGACGTCTTAATGACGTTCTGTCACAAAATTAATGACGTCGTTGCAAGGACGTCATTTTGACGTCATGTTAGAAAGTATTTGAATTATTATAATATGACTTTTAAGTTCTAATTTATATTAAGTCATAATAATTAAAGTTTATATCCATGTACATACATTGCAAATAATATATCTCTTTTAATAAAATATGTTATAAATTGCGGCTATGTTTAAATATACTTATTATTATCCTAATTAACTTTATCAATTTTTTTGTTAAACGCAAATAATTGATGTTTTATTCTGTATTTATTAATATACATATATTTTAATTCCCAATAATAACAATTAATTTGATGTAATTCAGATGTTAAAATAGAGACAAATAACGTCAAATTTATTACTACTTTGGGTATTTATATATATAT